AGAGAGAGAGAGAGAGAGAGAGAGAGAGAGAGAGAGAGGAGAAAAAAAGAAAAAGAAAGAGAGAAAAAGAAAAAGAGAGGAAAAAGGGCGACTGCTGTTCAGAGAGCAAGTGCCTGTGGGTTAGCAGGCGAGGAAGCCAGATTGCGCCACTGCCACCAGCAGCCCCAGTGACAGCAGTTGCTGCTCCCAAGTGTGCATTTACGATTTTAAGATCCTCGCTTTTTTTTCTTCTGAGTGAAAACTTAAATATATTCTAAATAAGCTTCCAAACTATGAGACAAATAAAAAAAATTTCCAGTTATGAATACAGGTATAAAGTCCAATAAATTTTGATACACATTTCTAATAAGCAACTAGTGATCATACAAGTGATGCAAAAATAGATTAGGAAGAAGATTTTAATTCTTCAGTTTTGTTTTCCAAAGTCTAGTGTACCTTACCCTGTTTTGTGTATGCAGTTATAACTATAGATTTGTTCATGTATTTTTAATAGGAAACAGAATTAGTGATGGAAGAAGGGTAGTTTGAGGAAAACACCTGAGCTTAGGTGGATCTGGTTTACTCAGAGAATCTAAAAGCAAAACAGAGGAGTAGCAGTGGGAGGCACTGCCGCTATCTGGGTAGAAAAACTAACCTCACAAGGTGAGGACAGTGGGACAGCCTCCTTAGGAGAGGACATTTTGAACCTTTTTCAAATGAAGAATTCTAAATGAAGAGCAACATGTTTTACCAAAATAATCATTATTCTAGTAAGTTCAACACATACTAAAGTTTGAACATTAATTCTTTCACAAGGTATTTTATACCCCCCCACCAAAAAAAAAAACCTGCCTGCCTCTGATGGGCAGCATGGCTGAGCAGATCGCCTCTGCCCCGTCTACTCGGCCTGGATGCGGCGCTCCGAGGTCAGGGATAAAACAACTGGGAGCTGCTTCTGGAGCTGCTTTGCCTTTTTAGGCTATGAGGGTCTCTCTGTGTTTAGGATCCCATGATTGACAGCCCACTCCAGCTCCAATTAGCACCCTGTAATTTATTAGCTTCTGCTTTCAGATTATGCGCTAACTTCACAAATATCTTAGCCATGGAAACAGCAGCTATCAAGTGTCTCTTCCCTGATCCAGCCCTTCTGGGGCTGGAATGAAAGACAAGGAAAGTGCAGTACAGTTGGTCTGTCAAGTGAATAATCGTTTGTGTCTGTGCCTGTCTGAGGGCACGGTGTCCTCAGACAGGCGTCCGCCCGTGGATAAACAGATTCTATGGGTGGGTGCTGTCTTTGTATTACTGGAGCTACGTTCCCCTGGGGGAGGTGAGGAAGAGCCAGCGCGTAGAAAGCATGAAATTTGTGTTTGCTTCACCTGGTGGCTCATGTAAAGTCACAACTTTAGTCACACACAAACAGCAACAGTGATTAGTGATTCTGTCTGCCTTTCTCCAGGTTTTAGGAATACACACTGAACCCTAAGACTCTAGCAGGGAAGGCTGGAATACATTGGACAAAGGCCCTGATGAGCACAACTGAAACTTAGTCGCATGTAGACTGTCAAATTAAAGCAATTTTATCAAGGAATCTGATGTTCTTCGATTTTTTTTAAAAGCCTTTCAACTATCTCTTTTGTTCCATGCTTTGAGATCATTCTATGCATTACATTTAAAAATGCAACATATGGAGACAGTATTAACATGGAAAGCAGTTGCTAATTATTATCTGTAATTTCTCCAATTCACCGAGTGCCTGCGGAAGAGCTGCTTGTTTACTGACAGGAATGTAGAGACACAGGCTCTCGTGATTGGAAGCAAAAGGGAAGTTGAGGTCTCTTAGAGCTGCTTCACTGGATGCAGAAGGGCACAGAAAGTGCAGTGCTCACCCAGGAAGAGGCCAGGGCAGCTTCGGGCAACTACCTGAGTCCGGAGACCCACCTGAGTCCAGAGACCCACCGCCGCCCTCTCCCACGCAGCCCCAATCAATCTTAGGTCATTGCTCCACTTTGCCACGCATGGAAATAGAACTTCAAAGGGAGATGAGCCAGGATGGAAACTCCTTTTCAGCAGCAGGAGGGCAGCAGATAGGTTCCCTGCAGCCTGGCCACTGAGTTCTCAGCCAGAGGGCAATGGCAAGAGATTCCTGGGTGGTGCAGAGCGTCTCTCCCCTTTTCATCACCTCCTCCTGGCTCGCCAAGGGCAGAAGGCAAGCTTCTGGGTCAGGGGTGCGGTTACAAGGGAGCCAGCCTTCTTCAGACCACTAACAGGCCAAGTTATATGAAAATGTCACACTTGCCTGGCCCCTGGCAGGCTGCACTTCTGAGTGTCCTTTTTCCAATGACCAGAACCTTCTTGAATTTGCAGGGTTTCCCTAGTATTTGCCAGATAGGCATGGCAGTTTTATTTTGTATGACTCTGCAGGCCTAGCACACATCAGCTAGGGCCATTAATTCTAAAGTTCTCTTTGACGATCTTGGTACACAGAACCGAACCTTAGTTTTGACTCATCTTTCGTTTCTACTTTAGGAGGATATGAAACAGCGAAGGGCAGGCTGTGTGAGGGCCACTGCCAGGTTGCCAGGCCTGAGCCAGCTCAGGCGCCTGGACAGTGTGTTCAACCCTGCCCAAAGGCTACCTCCAGTGAATGAGTCTCCTCGTGGGCAACCTGATCTTAAGGTCAGACGCAGCTCAGGAGGCAGGTTTTGGCAATCAGAACCTCGTGACCAGGAAAACGCTCCCTGCTGTGTGATCACAGACCCCCGCAGTGCTCACAGGTGGAGCCTGGAGGAGAGACCAGAGGAGACCCCGCTGTGACGCCATCTCCCAGGGGCAGAGTCCGAGAAGCACACTGGGACTGCTGCATCTTATTTACGTTTGTATATGCCAGGGATCCACGCCAGTGGAACAGGGATTTAAAAAACCCACAGAGAAGTCCAAAGTTAATTTTAGTTATTGCCTCAATGTCCAAACCTCAGGTTAACTCTGACAGGGCTCGGTCAGGTTGGGTGTGAAGAACTTCAGAGCAGGGGAGGCCGTTAAATGCTGAAATGAATTATTAGGAGAAGCAGCATGTCCTGCATCCTCCTGGACATGACCAGTAACGGTGTCTTTGAGACCCGGACACTGTGAGTTTGACAAAGTCTCAATCCTTGTCTCTTTCCCCATACTGTACAAGGAAGGAGAAGAATGTAAGTTCAAAGTAAAACAGCTAAGTGCGAGACCAAAACTGGATCATGGTGCTCGCAAATGATGGTGTGACTTCTGTGCTGGGCTCTTTACATCTGTCTGCATCTTGGCCCTGCCACTTACAAGCTGTATGACTGGGCAAATTCCTTCTCCTCCAGGTGCCTGTTTTCTCACAGTAAGAAAGAGATCATCATAGTAAGTACTATCTAAAATGTGGAAACTTTATTGTGAATCTTCCCATGAAGCCCTCAGGTCAGTGCCTAGTACACGAGAAGTAACATCAGTTATTTATCAGTCATCACATCTGGAGCAGAATAATCATAGAGTGTTTTCCATCTCCTGCCACCCCTATAATGAGTATATGTACCTCCCAGGTTCCTCCCAGGACAGGAAAGGGATGGAGGGCACACGTGGCCAAACTTGTGCTCCACAAGATCCCTCAGCTGCTTCCAGCTCCTGAGACAATTATCCAAGGTAAGTGGTGTTTGCCTCACTCATGGCAGTGACAGTCAAGATATGGACTAATGTGTTTATGCTTGAACAAGGTACCAGGAAAATTTGAGCCCAACACAAAACACATCTCTTGGGTCCTTTGCAGAAAGATCACAAGCAACTCTGCCATCAAGGGAAAAAGGAGAGAAATGACTATGAATTTAATAATCTCTTTTTTGCCTAGAAGATTTGGTTTTCTAGCATAGCTTATTAGAATATAAAATAACCAATATTTCAAAATCACTTCATCAGTGAGCCAGCTATTTTACGAGTCTAGAATTTAAGAAGTAACAGTCATTCCATTCTGGAAGATAACTCACGTGTGTCTGCTGGAGGGAGCTGCAGTGGTGCCGCTTGTCCTCTCTGCTCCTGAGCCCGGGATGCTAACAGCTAAGCTCTGATTTTGTAGCCATGGTCTTCCTATTCCTGGGTTTGAAGTGTAGTAAAAGAGGCTGGCAGACCTCACAGCATAGCAACACTCAGGAAAAGCTGATGTATGGGTATATTTCTGACAACACTGCTAACATCAGATCATACTACTAAAGAATTATTTTATTCTACTAAAGGAAAACTACGACGTTTATTTACTTCTTATGAAACAACACGGCGAACTCATAGCAAATACACATCTTTAATGTTTGTCTCATCTTCCTCATCACCTTCAGCTTTGCCCATACCCAGACCCCTTCCCCTGTCCCAACACAGAAGTGACCAATCACAACTGTAAGGACGGAGAGAAATAACGGAAGCGCTGCTGGCCCCATGGATGTGTCTCTCTCCCCTGTGGTGATTCCTAGTTCCTCTCTGGGAAGACAGCTGGGTCTCTCCTGTATTTCTCATCCAGAGGAGAGAGGAGGGCCAGGATCTGCGGGAGAGAAGGCAGAGCAGGGTTTCTTCTTTCATCGTAAAATGTGCCCTTATAAAAAAGATGATATATGTACATATATATAATATATCTGCTGCAACTGCAATTGTCCTGCCACACACTGGAAGTGCCACCTTGGTCGATGTATTTCTGGAGTTTACAACAGTTGTCCAACAACAGCTGCATTTCAGTAAGACTTGGGCAGGTGGCTCCAGATCAGCCCCCTGCCACTCACATTGAGGCATCTGCAGTCTGAGGAAAAAGTCTCACTTTCTGTCTGGAGTGGGTGTTGTGCGGCGGGAAGGCGGAGGGAGCCGGAGGCCGAGCCTGAGGAAGAAGGAAGTGGCTTCTTCGCATTTCTCTACCACAGTCTGGGTTTCAGACATTGAATCTGAGGACAGTGACATCAGGAGTGCTGTGGCCACACTACGTAAAGAAATACTTCATTCACATCAGCATAAAAAATATTCACACTGAAAGGTCTCTTTTTCTTTCCCCCATTCCAAGAAATCTTATCGTATCACCCGACTAAGCAACTTCACCGCAGATATTTCCAGCGATTTGGCCAAAGTCATTAAACATAGCGCAGAGTCTCTGGGTCTGCTCTCTCGGCAGGAGAGAGTAATTCTGGATGACATTTCTGTACATGTGGTTTTTGGTTTTCCCAGTACACTGAGAAGTTTGAAGCCTCTGCCTTCCCGGAGCCTCCACGGCTGGTCGGAAGGGGAGGGGAGGGGGACCTGGTCAGCGATCAGCTCAGAAGGGGTGCACCACAGAGCGAGTAGCGCCGAGCTGCAAACCAAGATCAGAAGCTGTTACAAACCCACTCCACTTCGCTGCGGGGCCACCGTGTGCACCGTGCGGACACCTAGGGGAGAAGGTGGGCTGTCTAAAACCAGTACAGATCCTTGCTTTTGTCCTGAAGCTGCAAACCTGGAAACAGAGAGAAGATAAAAGGGACAGAGGAAGAGAGAGACAAAGGGAGAGGAGAAAGAGGGAAAGAGGGGGGCGTGGAGGGAAGGCACAAGATATTTAAAGAAAGAGAAAGACAAACAGCACTGTTTTATTGTGAAAGTCACAGTCTTCCCGGGCCGGTGTGGGGGTGTGGTGGTGGTGAACGACAGTAAAAGCAAAGCAACGAGAAAGCCAAATCTGCACCTACAGGAGGGGCAGAGTGACTACTGCACTTATTTATGACTGAGCTATTTCTTTCATCTACCTTAAAAATAAAGCACATAAAGCAGCACCTCGCAGAATGCACCTTCCAAACTCAACTCTAAGCCAGGCACTTAGCACCCTAGCATATCAGTTAAAGCCATGTTCTTTAAGTTTTACAACTGCAAGAACCATTTAATTTGGCAACGAAGCTGCTACAAGAGGCCTAGGAAGGTCTCTCGGTGAGCCAGAAGTCGCGGAGGACTTCAACAGTCTCAGTGGGCGCTCTGGGTCAGCGCTGTCCAGTTCAGGCTTAACCCTGAACTCTTCAGATGCCACGTGAACAGAACAGCGACAGGAAACCGGTGAGAATTTAAGTGACGGACTCTAACCCAGCCACCCACCACGCGCTACACCGCGGAGCACACGCGAGCACGCGTCCGAAGTTCGGAGTCTGCCTCCTCACCCGGGGAGGCTCAGCGGTCACACGCGGCTGCTGGCCGCAGTACTGGACAGCACAGAGCTAGAACTTTTACCCCAAGTTTCATTTTAAGAAGTCCTCGGTGGCCCCCAGTGCCCGGTGGGCGCTGCGGCGGCACCGCCTGCGTCTGAGCAGGGGCCGGGGAGCGGGAGCCGCCGGCCAGCCCGTGCACCCCCAGGGAGCCCCTCGTCCCGGGTCCCGGCTTACC